ATTATGACAACCTCAAAAACTCAGAAGCTCCCAACAAATATTTATTTCTGGTACCACAGTTTGGCAGCCAGGTTCTATTATTTGTTGAGGTTGCAGGTTAGATGCTGGTTGGCTTCTGCTGTCTTCCCATTCTGGGGTTGAGGCTGAGGGAGCAGTCCTGATCTAGAAAGGAGCTTCTCCTGGAGGAAGGCACGGGATCAATGCCTCTGATGACCCTCTGAGTCTCTGGCTGATATGCGTCCTATAAGTTCTATGCACATGTCATTGGTCAAGCCCAAATAACCATTGAAGGAAGGATGTTTACCCAAAGAAGGAAGTACTTAATAATTGAGAACAATGCTATCCCTCAGTATTTAGAAGATTCTTCAGATTTGGTAGCTAAGAACTTCAGTGAGAAATATCTAATTTCTGATATGTATTTCAACTTTACCTTGTATCTGAATACTATTGCTGCTCCATTTATTCTCTTCTTTAGGACATACAATGACCCATGTTATTTTTCTGTGGTATGTTCTATATCTACTATCTTTTCTGAATCTATTATCTTTTCTGAATCTATTATCTTTTCTGAGATCACTTTTATTCTCCTGTTCTTCTATTGCAAAACTTGCTTTTAATGTATGTGCTTTGAGTTTCTCCAGTGTGAATTTTCTTCCTCAAGGTTTCTAGTATTGGTTTAAATCCTTGCAGGGCATTATTTTTTTTCTTACATTAATTTCTACTTGTACAGTTATCTTTTCCCTCTCATTTCATGTTTCCTTTAATTTCCTTGGCTGGAAAGAAGATGCTATCTATAATAAATGTAATTAAAATTCATATTATTAAACATTTTTTAAAGATGTGTTTTATCTTTCTTCTGTGTCACAAAAATCATTTTAAGGGATTTAAGTTCTTGTCTTGATTATTTATGCTTGAAGCAGGATAGACTTAGCTCAGTTTATTTTCCTAAAACAAGGGAGAAAGGACTCATTGATGATCTTTTAGGAAATCCTCCACAAAGATTCTGAGTAGAGGAGCTGGACAAAGTAGTTTTATATCATCATTTTGATGATATATTCTTGGTACATCCCTAGCACCTCAACACATGTGTTCCAGATGCTGTTCTAAGTATTTTACTATAATGACCAATCTATGAAAGAGAAAACTGAGTCCCTGGGTATTTAAGAGATTTGCCTGAGTTCAAAATTGCCCAAAATCCCAAGCAGTCTACCTCCAGGATTTATAAGCAGAAGTACCATACTATAACATACTGGATCCCATTGTAGGAATGTGGCACCATTGATTTAACAATTCACTGCTGATGTACAATTAGACTTCTCCTGATCTGATATGAGTAAGAGCTGTAATGAGTTATTGGTAACTTGAATACTTAGTGGACATTGGAATATGATGGGCCAGTTTCCACAGATGACTAATTCTTTTCATAAAACCAAATGTAATGAATGTTCAGATTTACTTAGTATTCAGAAAAATCATGAGTTTTTCTCATAAACTATGGTAATTAACCATATGACAAACTCCCTATAATTAAGGGATAAATTGCTGGCATAAAAATAAAGCACGCTTGCATGCTATAATTACTCTGTAGCTTATAGTTTATCAAACATGCACTCTGAACATAAGAGGTTATATAAGTACATAACTTCTGGAAGAAACCCTGTGCTTTTCCCACATGAAAGTGACAACAAGAAAATGACAGTTTGGTGTAATAACGCTAAGCCTACTGGACATGTCTGCAGGCCAAACTTTAACACAGGGTCCCTATCTCCTCAGAGGGCCAGCTTTAAGAAACTAATATATACACTATACAAATATCAATTATTTGTATATTTGTATAGTAACAAATGAACAAATGATATTTATATAGTGATATTTCTCACTATATAAATATCAATTATTAAAATCAATTACTGGAAGAATTTTGCATTTTTTTGCCAATGTGAACAAAAGTAAAAAGCAATATGTTTACTTCATTTATTCCTCATCACAAAAATAAAGCGCAGCCACAGTGATGGTCTTGCTTTCATTCTGGCTGATAAGCATAAATGCACGTCCTTTTAACAGTTTCAAAGGAGAGTCTGAGATATATTCCTAGTACATCCCATCTTCCTCTGTTTACATGTCTATGTAGTAAAAGAATAAACCAGGCCCTATGCAGGAAGTATTCTGCCTGGGACCAGGGAAAAAAAAAAAAAAAAAAGAGCAGAGCCAGCATCATGTACAGACACTCCAGTGAGTGAGGGGAGAACTGAATCAGCTTCAAACCATCTTTATTCCCCAACCACAAACTAAAGAAAAGTACACGGATTTGATATGGACAACAAACAAATACAATAATGATAGAAAGACGTTAATAAACATTCTCTCTGGCAATTCAGAGTCTAATATAATATTTTTGCTTTTATCATTTTATATTTTTTAAAGGCACTCTAAATAACAATGAATCCACATAAAATCAACAATAGGAATTTTCAATCCTTTAATATAGAGAATGACATAGTAGTACATAAGAATATTTGCAATGCTAGGGAACTACTAAAGAACTCCCATGCAAACAAATATGTTCAACAGCAGAAGTCTGTGATGATTACCTATGGTGATTTCGGAGGTATACAAAGTGAAAAGACTCTGATTGTTACCCTGACCATTTTCTTTAAAATGTGTTTAAGATCTTTTTCTCAATTCCATTGTTTCCTATGCTTATTTATTAAGTTACACAAAATCTAATTTGTAGATATAATTCAGTTTTTAAAATGTGTACTTATTTATATAAGTATGTATCTCAAAACATTATACTGTATAATGTTTCTCTGTGGCTTATCAATGATGTGGACTTTTGTGGATAAACATCGGAAATTTATTATAATAAAACATCAGCTAAACCCCTAAAGAACAGAAATTAAAACAATCCAATGACTCAGAGAGAAAGCTGTTCATTTCCTTTTTGGAACCATCTAGAGTGCAATGGTTATGTGGGCTCTGCTCCAGGAGGTCATCCAGGGACACAGATTGGCAAGGTTGATCAGTCATTTTACAGACCTGTTTCCAAGATTTCTCCAGTCTATATTTTCCATTTGATGATAAGGGGTAGAGAATGCCCAGAGCAAGAGTCTTTGAAGAGATATGCTAGAGGTTGCACTTATTCCTTTACTCATATTTCATTGCTCTAAACTTGGTCACATTCAACTAACTGCAAGAGAAGCTGAAAAGTACAGACTAAAACTGGGCAGCCATGGATATAGCAAAAATTTGAAGGAAGATGGGGAGAATGAATATCAGTAGACTCCTGGCAGTCTCTGCCACTATAAAAAGACCCAGTTTAAAAATTGTTGTGGGGACTAAATATAGTTGTAAAGCGAAGTGTTTTATAGAATTTATAAAAACCATTAGTACAAAACTTGATGCATACTAAGGATTATTAAATGGTAGCTGATATTAATATTAGTATTTAGGATCTCTAACATCTAAATACTTAATTCCCTCCAAAGTATTGTAGGTAAGTGATTATTTAGCTATTCTGGAATCCTTATAGTAAAAAGAAATAACCTCTCCTAATGCAGTCATTCCATTTTCAGAAAGGATTTCCTCTCTCTGGTCATCGTTTATTTTCCTACTTCTATTCCTTGTGTTCACCCTACTTGTGATCTCTGAGGTCCTACAGAACCAATCTCATACATCTACCATTTATTAGACACTCATGGGAAATTATTGCTTCTTTCATGAGTTTTCTTTGTCTCTGATCATCTTTGCTCCAATAATCTCTCATTGTCCATGACTTTGAGTCCACTCAGCATCCTGGACATATTCACTAACTCATTTAATGTTTATTTTTGGAATACTGAATATTCTATTTTGTTGGTCTCCACCATTGAACTGTGTTGCCAAGAGCATTGCACGATATTCCATGTTATCCTGACCAGGATGAGCACAGCAAATCATCAGTCTGCTCAGTCAGGGATTCATTTTCCTTAAGTGAGACTTAAAGATCCTATGAATTATTTTGACAGGGGTATCATGCTGTTGGCACATGCCAACTTGAGGTCCCACTGAGCTTTTTTCATTTGTGCATTTAACCTAAATGCTCCCTACCCTACACAATTTTCAAATTCAAATATAAAACATTTTATTTCTATCTAGATTATTGTCTCTTCTTACAGTTTCTTAAGACATTTTATTCTTTCACCCAATTATCACTCACAGATTCTCACCATCTCCACTCCTGATTAGCACGTGAGTAAATTTTTCTAAGATACTGACAAAAATGTGAAAGTGGATCAGGCTGATTCAGAAGACACTAGTAACTCTCCGAGCAATCAGCTAGTTACAAATGCATACAACTGCGTCAACATTTAGGAAATATCATCCTATCCGGTTCATCACAAGAATCTCAAGAGCAGCTTGTCTTAAGAACTTGATTTCTGTGCTTGCTGCCAGGCCTGCTGAGGTCTTGATCTGCTGTTCAATGTTCTTCGTAGTCTGGCTGTATTCAGCCCAGCCTGCCTTCACTGCCTCCTTTCAGGAAAGCACGACTAGTATTTTCCTGCTGCCAGAACTTTGAGAATGAGATTCAACACATATTTATTAAGACCTGATTATGTGCCAGGAATTGAACACAGCACTTTCTCATAGAAACGGAATATGAAAGAAATGGAATCTATTTGATGAAAAATGCATATATTCCCAAGTAAAAGCATCTTACTACTTTGTCTATGTGTGAGACCAGTGCACAGCATTCCTTATATAGAAACTGTAGCAGAATACTTAACAGATTCCATCTATAGGTTCTCAGCTTTTAGCATGAGGGATACAGAGACACTTTAAATACAATATGCATTTTTTAAGATGATCTTTTCAATGGCTAAATTCTTGCTAAACCATTAGACTTTGAGGTTAAGTAAATTAACAATAACTGTGCAGGCACTTTCCAGATACATACACAGGAATAATTGTTAATTTGCTGTAGATAACAATTACATTTTAGAATTTAAATTGTGAATTACCTGTACAGATGGTACCTTTTCCAAAGGACTTTCTACTCGAGGAATGCTGATCATTGGCATCTGGGCCAGATTATCCATGTGTATATGCTCATTTTCTGGTTGTCTTCCTTTGAAATTGTTTACCACACACACGACCTAAAATTTCAAACAGTTATAGTTACTATAGATAGTGAAACTATATATCATATGACTGTTGCCTTTTTGAACACTTTAATAGATCCAAATATAGTAATAAAGAATTAAAATAACTTAAATATTACATGCATAAAACTTTACACCCATATTTATCTCATATATATTTTAACAACTACTTTGATGCAGATAGGTTCGAGAAATTCACCATTTAATATGTAGCTCAATTAATAATGAAAATTTATTATTCCAAATTTTTCATTAAAGTATACTTAATGCTCAAATCAATCCAAAAATAACACCATAACCTTATAAAAATTCATAGCAAGCTAACCTTTCCCTAATGTGGCTAACCTACAACTTAATTTAAATGCTAATTATTTTCCATTGCTTCAAGATTATTGCATTCATAATAAACCTTCTACAATTGGCACTATCTAATTTAGTAACATCCTTTTAATTAATCTCATTTATTGTCTATTATTTTTGTTGCATATGTACTTGGTATTTCAACAATAGAATACCGGGGCTACTAATGAAATAGAAGACCCTTTACATAAAGGAAATTGACCTTGGTTTCAATTGATTAGATCCCAGAGATAAAAGAATTTGAACTAAACCAAAGGTTCTCATATTTTTGTATGCCTAAAAATAAAGTTCTGGCACTGTTAAAAATGCACATTCCTAAGCCTGCCCCTAAAATTTCTGAAGTAGAATATGGGTGAAGAATGAGGCCTGGGTGTTAGAGTCTGTAAACAAGTCAAAATAACACCTGGCATTTAGCCAGGGGAATGTTAGAGTTCATAAACAAGTCTGGATGGTGCCTGGCAAAATGCCAGAGGGAGTGGTTTGAGAAGTAACAAAAGCGAGCCATTAAGTGTAGAGATTCCTTATTGGTTGACTGATGTATCTAGTTTATGCTAATTAGATAAGCTGTGTGGAATGTATAAATACTGCTCCTGTCCTGCAATAAACGGCTCCCTCTCCTGCTGTATCAACATACACAAGTTATTCGTCACCCCCCCGGTTATTTTGCTGCAGCCGGACTGCGGCAGATGGTGGCCCGTTACGGGGAGCCCCGGGACACTCGGGGGTAAGTGACGAAAAAAGCTGCCCGTCCATAGATAGGACGGGAGCAATCTGCTCGTCCCTAGGCAGATAGGGCGAGAGGAAAAATGGCCATTTTGAGAAAATGGAGAAGATTGATACAGTATGTTTGTGTCTTGTTTTGTCTCAGTGTATTGTATTGTCTTTATGATGAAAATATGGAAGGGGTGAGAAATAAATTACTAAGGGAAGAAGGCACCCCAGTGGAACCAAGAATAGTTAGGGCATGTGTTGATAAGAGCCCAGGAACTCTAGTCAGAAAGAAAAAGAAAGTTCAGAAGAAGAAGGATTATCAGGAAAAAAGTTGCAGCAAAAGGCTATTACTAAATACTTTTCGTTACCGGAGGGTGCGTGAAGCGGAGAGGCGGCTGCCGAGTGTGCAAGCCGGTCACAGCGCAGCAAGGATTTTCCAAGAGGCGGCGGCGACTGGCCCTTCCCCGCCTCCTGGCCGGGGAGCTAGCTCTTCCACTGCCGCGAGCCCAAATCTAGACCTGACCTGGAGGCACAGTCTCGCAGGCTCTTGCTCCCTGTGCCCAGTAGCAGTTTGAGACCGGGACTCTCCCCAGGGCCATCTGGGGCTACCCGGGACGCTACAGCCTCAGAAGACACTACTGGTGTCCCTGATGTTTGGTCATTTTCAATGCCAATAACTAAGCTACAATGGTTCTCCCACACCTGGAAGCTAATGAGTAATGAGCACCATTAAGGCTTATTTAAATGTAAAAAACCTTGAGATAATGTACTAAATTGTTCAGAAGGTTGTTTTCTTAGTGGAATACTACAGGATTTTCTTTAGCCATCCGGAGTTCCTGCCTTTGTCCCAGTGCCGGTGAAAACGAAAGTGGAAGAATTTCCAGTGTTGCTGAAAACCGGAGGAGACTTCGGCTGAAAAACGGAGGAGACTTTGGAGCTGTTGCTGTTTCTGCTACTACAGCTTAGGCTAGCTACCTGCAGAACTTACCTGGACTGTGATTTAAGCTAGCTGCCTGCAGAACTTACCTGGACTGTGATTTACCTGGACTGTGAGTTAATCTATTGAGACACTGCTTTATCTGGACTGAGACAACAAACTGTAATCTACAACAAATTGTAACTCGGTATCTTTGCTAACGGTGTCATTGCTGGTATAATTTTTCCAAGGGCTTCTTGCATGGAGCCATCAATTGGCCTGGTATTGTGACATTTTGTATCCTCCCCTTCTGCTTGTAGCAGATTATTTATGGTGTTTGTGTAAAAACCACTATGGTTGTTATTTAAATTAAACAAAAGGGGGAAATGTTAGAGTCTGTAAACAAGTCAAAATAACACCTGGCATTTAGCCAGGGGAATGTTAGAGTTCATAAACAAGTCTGGATGGTGCCTGGCAAAATGCCAGAGGGAGTGGTTTGAGAAGTAACAAAAGCGAGCCATTAAGTGTAGAGATTCCTTATTGGTTGACTGATGTATCTAGTTTATGCTAATTAGATAAGCTGTGTGGAATGTATAAATACTGCTCCTGTCCTGCAATAAACGGCTCCCTCTCCTGCTGTATCAACATACATAAGTTATTCGTCACCCCCCCCCCCCCCCCCCCCGTTATTTTGCTGCAGCCGGACTGCGGCACCTGGGAGTTGGCATTTTTAAACATGTTCCAGAATTTCTGGATGGAAGTGGATCATACTTAAGAAGTAGTAAATTAAACAACACAGTAAAATTATTTGCTATTGTTCATTTATAATAACTAGTGAGTAATGTACTGGGCTTTGTTTTTCTGGATTTATGGAACTCTATAAGTCAAAATGCAGGTCTTATAGGTATAAGCCAATATTCATTTTTAGTAATACTTTATAATAATACATTAACATTGCATATTTTCACAAATGCTCCATCACAATGTCTTTTCTTTAGTAGAATTTATTATTGAATATTTTCAATGGCCAACTACAACTTGTTACTCTCAATTTTTAAATACAAATTACAAATCTTTAAAAATCATAACATACTATGAGATTTTCCTTCAGAAAAAATAAGTTTCCTTGCAAACTCTTACTTATCTCTTATCCTTCCATTTCCTAGAAAAATTACAGGTTAAAAACCTGATAATTTGATATCTAATATCAAATTCTGATAATTTGATACCTCAGCTTTACCAATGCCACCAAGATCTTTAAAGTAATGGATGGTAAAGGCTTGAAGATGGGTACTTCATAAATCTACTGTCAAATGATGTTTCTAGCTTCACAACCCCAAAAAAGACTCATAGATACTGACTGCCCAGGAGACAGAGTTAGCAAATTTTATCTGGAGAGGGAAAGTGATAAAAATCATTGATTATATGGGATAAAGTTTCTGTAGGAACTACTAAAACTCTGCCACTCTGATGCAAAAGTAGTCACTGATAGTTCATAAATGGCTTATTAGTGTTCCAAAAAAATTTCTTTAAAAAAAAATAGGCAGCAGGTCAAATTTGGTCTATCGGCTGTAATTTGCTGACCACTGCTCTGGAATATAAAGGATATAATCAAGAATTTTAGCTAACAATCACAACAAAACAAATTAGCAATTTCATATCTATCTCATGATACATATGATACATACATACAGGGACAGACATTCTTCCCATTCTATTAGTATTATAAATTATTGGAAAACAGGGCAGATGGGAAAAAACTGCAGATGAATCTTCTGAATAAAAATTTGATGAAATTAAATAACTATGTACAAAGCCATAAGGAACTCATGAGATGAAATTCACCTAGAGTTAATTTGGGCTTCTAAAATTAGTATAATTGTTTTTGATATTATTTAGGTTTGGAAAACTCAGTGAAAAGATTTACTGTTTATACCTGCTTTTATTAAATTACAGGTTAATACCACTGAAGCAGCTGAAAATTCATATATGAAATTCATAAGCACATAACACGAATTAGACACTTATTAAATGTTATCTATTAGCATAATAATTATTCTTCTTTACTCTTGTTATTTAAATTTTAAGAAAGGAAATTACCAAATCTTCTTTACAGTCATATTGAAATATTTAATAAGTCTTATCTGCTAACATTCACAAGTCTTGATTTACTGTTCATAAAAATAATAAGAAAAAGAAAAAAAAAAAAAAAACAAGAGATCTGGCTGATCCTGAGTTCAAAACTGAAAACTGACATTCTTCATTCTTTGGGTCCATTTTCTCAATTAGAAAGTGATCACCAAAGTAACTCCAATTCTTTTTTTTTTGGCAAAGGTGTGACAAATTCAACAAATATTCAAGACTAAGTTCAAACTTCACCCATCTTCTGACCTACCCCTAGACTCTCTCAGGAAAGGCAACATCCCCACACATATCTTCTCCCAGCCCAGTGCAGCTACAGGAGGCTTAAAATTTAAATTTATCTTTTACACTTCCTATACTCAACCACTTATTGAATATGCTCAATTTTACTTTCTAAACATGTTGATTATTTCTATCTGTTTGAGTCTATGTCTATCATCAACAACTCCAAAGACTAAGCAACCATCACTTCTTCCAGATTCCTGCAAAGTTTTCTAAATTATCCCCCTAAATCCAGTCTTGGTCATCTTCTATTTTGTATAATGATGTGAAAATGATGATTCCAAATGCAAATTGAATTATATCATCCAGTTAGAACAATCTTTTGGCTTAGCTTCCCATTTATCCTAAAATGTAAATGCTAACCACTTTGCAACCTTCCTTCTCTCGGTTTTCCAAACACCTTTGCTCCTTTTCACTTCCTTCTATTTGAAATACTCCTCAGCTCTACCTTCTTTGAATTCCATTTTTAACTCAGTCATGGTCTATCCCTTTAGCATCTCTAACTCACAGAAGTCTTTCCTGAATCTCTGACTAGAACAACTTATTTTGGTTTTGTGTGTTTGTTGTTTTGCTTTGTGCTCAT